TGAAATTCTTTTTGGCAGTTTTGATCATGGAGCTTACGTCATTTCTTAGTCTGTTTCTTTCAATTTTGAGTTCAGTCACGTGGGCCTGGAGTTCACTGCTCGTGCTTTTGGAAAGCATTGACTGACTTTTATGAAACTCAGAGCATTTTTTGTCTCTGGTTTTCATGGCGGTCAGTATGCCGGAGTGCATCCACGGCTCAGCGCGATATTTTACCCTGGTTGTTCTTAGGGGGGCCAAATCATTGAGTATTGCAGAGAATTTGTTTTTGAAACCAAGCCATGTTTCTTCAACTTGTGTACCACTGAGCTCATCTGACCAGTCCAGGCTCTCCAGTTATAGGTTAAAGGCCTCGCTAGAGTAGTTTTTGAGGTCTCTAGATATCACTGTTTTGTGACAGCCGGCCCTTTGTTTTAGCTTTTTGCGGGTACAGAATATCATATAATGATCACTTAACCCGCATGCTATAACCCCTTTACTGGAGATCCTGGACTTGTCAGAGGTCAGAATGAGATCAATGGTAGTTTGTGTTATTTCACATACCCGGGTGGGTTGGGTGATTAGCTGGCTGAAGCCGTGCAGATCACAAATCCTACTGAAGGACTTGAAGACGGACGTGTCTTTACGTTGCATATCCGTGTTCCAGTCTCCAATAATAATTGTCTCTACATCCCCCACATCAGCCAAACACCCATCTAATGTATCATAAAAGTCACTCTGTTCCGGTGGTCTATAGATTGTCCCGACTATTACAGATTTAGCATTGTCAAAAAGAATTTCAACCCACACAGATTCAATATTTTCATGATGCAGGTCAGTACGGTTTTTGAAATTGGTGTCTTTATGTATGTACATGCAGACACCACCTCCATTCACGTTCCTGTCCCTTCTCACTACAAGATAATCTTCAATTTCAATCTCTGAATCTGTAATGGAATTGTCCAATTTGGTCTCAGAAAAGCATAATATGCTTTTCATATCATCCTCCCACTCGGAGTGGAAATTATATATTTTGGGCTTTTTTGCTTCTGCCATAATTGCGGTCTTGTGTGTGTGCGGACTGTCACTCCTGTTGACACGGACAAGTTGGACAACGTCAGCGAAATAGTGCACTGCCCAATGCCGACCAGCCACGCCCCGACACATGGGGTCTAGCCGGCCAATCACAAAGCTTTGATGCGTTCAAGTGCATTATTCTGGCACGGGAAGATTATGTTATAGGATATTAACGATAAAACAGAATATTGTTGTTCTATTTTTAGACACATCTCGCGATCGACTGGGAATCTCCCCGCGATCGACCGGTCGATCGCGATCGACTGGTTGGGCACCCCTGCTCTAGACCGACAATTGTTTGGAGCTGGAAGTGAACCGGATTCCGGAGCTAAGAGCCGGCGCCGCTGCGGTGTGAACAGGAAAAACCGGCGCTATTCAGGCTCCAGCTCGGAGCCGGAGCTGAAAAAGCGCTGGTGTGAAAGGGGCAAGAGAGTCCTTTAGCTCACCTGAGCCCCTCAGTCGGACAGGGGAGGACTCTCCTCCAGCTTGTTGTGGAAACAGCTCCTTATGTCCGTTAGTGCAGCTAGCTAACCAGATGCTAACATCACGGCCCCCGCTAGCACCGGTCCCTCTCTCTCCCTCTCTCTCTATCACACTAATGCGCTATTGCCACACACACACACACACACACACACACACACACACACACACACACACACACACACACACACACACACACACACACACACACACACACACACACACACACACACACACACACACACACCACACACACACCACACACACACACACACACACACACACACACACACACACACACACACACACACACACACACACACACACACAGAGCCGAGCTTGAATGACACAAGTACACGTGTATTTCCATGCAACTCTCTGATTGGTCTGGTGACTTGCCTCTGTTGCATTCACTGAACACGGGAAATTGCATTCCTGGGGTCCTCTCTTGTGTCATGATGAGGTTCACGTAAAGCACAGTTAATGTATTATATTATTGAGGTGTCTCAAATATACGTCAATCAAGTGGTACCTGCTAACGGGGTGGTGGATGATAGGTTTACATCTAAAAACGTATTTTTCAAACATTATTTTAATTTTTCTTTCTTTTGTTACTTTTTTTTTTAACGGTCCACGATTTACCCGCACCACGATCGCGATCGACTGGTAAAGTGAAACAAAATAATGTAATAATATTAGTTAAGGTAAGCATATATTGTGCATAGTAAAAAACAAGTTACATTTTATATGAATCACTGGTTTAATGCACCATCCGGCCAGGACTCTGTGACCCAATTCCAAACACAGGTGCATCTTGGGCCTAGCTTACATGCTAAAAGCTAACATGCACATGTTGGATCCTGCACCTTTTATCTTCAGTGAGGTGTGTGTGAGGCCTTACTGCTGTTTGTGACAATAACCCAGATGTTACTGCAGAAGCTGTTTGTGGACTACAATGAAGGAGCAGGGAAGTTTAACTGGCCGCCGGGATGCACAGGACTCTGGGAATTACGTTCAGACAGGTGAGGTGAGTATAACAATTACCTACTGCGTTGCCGTGAAACGTAGCATCGTGTGTTTGTTGCAGCATTGTGAACACTGTATGCTCATGTTGTTTCTGACTGCAGCCACTGTGGAGTTTGGCTTCATCTCTGTGCTGTCAACGTTTTTTATTCTACTGATTATTATTTATTTAGCACGATAATGATTATTGTTTGGTACTTTTTCTGGTTAAGGCTATAAGCCTACTGATAAAGGTGGTTGTGTGTTCATAATTGATAGTAAGTTATAGGCCTATACATTTTCTGCATATTTCCTTACTATGTAGCCTATTGATTTTATTATTAGGTTTGGAAGTTAACATCGTTTTTATTTGTATCTAAGAACATTTTTAGTGCTGCTAGGATTACATGAGAAAAAAACATCTTAAAAGTAGGCTAATTGCACCTTCACTACGACTTTACAGACCATTTAAAGGTTATAAAAACGTGCAAATTGAGCATTTCAAAAACCCCAAAGGTTTTGTTTTGCTCGGAAATGGAGAGAAGTAACCTAATGTCTCATTGGAATAACTTTAACCTAAACTTTTTGGGCGTTTTATTTAATAAATTAGAGATTGGACTAATGACTATTGTGTATTCTGAGGTCTATTTCATTGCATGTGAGGCCAGCCACTAGATGGCAGTGCTGCGTCAAAGGGAGTTTTTTTTACACACAACTCACAAAAAATACCTTTTTATGGCGGCACACATCCAATACAAACATCTTAGATAGATTTTATGTGTGTATGAATTCTGGATCAATTAATTCTACGTTGAACACCTGGCACAGCCTTGCAGCTCCACCTCTCGCTCTCAGTGAACCACAAGGCCCTCTGGGCATGAAGGCTAAAACCTGCATTCAATCAGCATCAATAAATGCTGTAATGGCATCCTGTACCACAATCATCAAAAGCACATTTCTTTGACTCTCAAAATGAACTTCATTGTTCAAAACATGCTGCAACCTCAGCAAGTTGTTGTGTAGCATTACACATGGGTCCCAGTGTGGGACCTCAAGGATGTAACGCCCCGGGTCATGCGTATAATGTCCAAACTACAGGCTCAATGAGTTTCTGACCAGCTTAACGTCTCGCCAATGGTCTACAATTTGCCTCAAGAGCAATTAACGCTTCCTGTAGTGAGCAAAATGGATTTGGTGTGTGTGGTTTTGGTTGAAGGCAAAGCTCTCCTTTTAATGACCTTAAGCTCCCCTGGGCTGCCAGCTCATGACTTATAGATCACACCGGCTGTGTTGACTCAACTGTAAATACACTTCTGTTCATAAAACACTGTAGGGTTATTATCATGGCTGTCGGTTGCGGTTTTTACGTGAAATATGGATGCATGATGGACCGTTTTGGGGCGATATGGCATTGTTTTGATGTAAGGGCAAGACAAATTGTATTGTTGTGATGTTTGGGTGTAATAACTATAAAGTTGATCTATTCTAAGGTTCCCACAATAATTAAGGTAATAACCAGGAAAAAGCAGATTCAAACAATCATCCTGGCCATGTTGTATACTTACATTGTGTTCAGTTTATTGAAGTCGTAATTTCATATTTCAGTATTTATCCAAGGACAGTATTTGCTGTACTTGTGTGCAGCTGGAACAGATAACTTACATGTTTGCTGGTTAATGACAGAGGTTTATTGATTCTGCAGATTCTCACAGATGTAGGTAAAGTTGACTGAAATCCTCTTATTCTTCAGATATTTATATCTGTAATATCAGTCCCTGTATTGTGAGTATCTCCCATACTGAGAAGGCAGCTATGTAGTCAGCTGAGATTACAAATAAAAACATTTAAATTATTTAATGTCACATACAAGTACAGATAATGCTTATTTTGTTTTACGTTACTGTGTTGCAAACAAGCAGCCTAATTTCAGAGGTGTAGTTTTGTTGTGCGGGAAAGTATCATAGTTGTCTGCAGGACATTCTCAAAATATTGAAGTGACTGTTATTTTGTATATTGATTGTTGTGTTTTTATTTAGGTCTTAATGTGTGCAAATGTAAAAATGTGTCTTTGACTGTATATGTATGTATATATACATATTTGCACACACATTTTTATATACATTCGGTTTTATATTTGGGATTGTGGGAAACAGTATTTCGATCTCTGTCTGTACACACAAACTGGAAGATACTCCAAAGTGATTGAAGTAAGTTATGATTTTTTACCTGATATTGACTCAGTCAGGCTTGTCTCAGGCCCAATTAAAATGGGTTTGACTTTAATACTGATTGCAGGAGGTATGTGTTTAATGTTTTACCTCTAACTGGACAAATTAAATGGCAGTTCACAAGTCAAATCTAGAGCTCCAACTTGAATTCCTTAAAATGCTTTGCTCTGCCTCAATAAGCTGCCTCAACAAACATAAGCTGTATTCCATTTGACACAAAGAAACAAAGACATTTGTACACATTAAATATAAATCATTTTATAATATACAAATTGTACAGATGTCATGAACAATAGGAATGTGGACATACTCAGGATAGCAAAGATAAAGAATACTTTTTTCTTCCTTGATAGCAAACACTGCTATGCAAGTGACAACAGCACATGATCAAAGATACTCAACATTCAAGATGGCAGCGAGGTGATAAAAACACATCGGGGACAAAAACCTAAGAATACATTTTCCGGAGGCTGTGAGCAAGCTAAAGTGACAACACAGGAACAAAAAATGACGGCATCCTATTGTATCATGTTCTGTCATTTCTACTTTGCCCATTTCACATCATAGTAGCACACAGGAAATGAACCATTACGTTGTCTTTTTTCTTAACAGCGTTACCAAAAACGATTGCACCGGCAGCACCACTGAGGCTCAAAGACAATTATGCTGATAGAAGACAGGAAACTGTATATTACCTTTTCTTTTTTCTTTTACACAAATGGGCAGAGAGCTGCAAATGTATAAAGTCTAACATTACTCAAAGGTCTCCCTCTTTTCACGGACGGCTAACTTAACATGGTTCAACATCATTTAACTGATAGAGTGTAAGATCCTGCCTCGCTTTTCTCTCCCTGTCGTCTGTGTTTTTCTTTTTTCCAGGATAAAAAAAAATCACTATTACCCACAGTCCCTGGAGTGTACTCATGTCAGAGGTTAGACTGAGCTGCCACCAATCAGCCCTTATCAGGCAGACAAGGGGCCCTGAAGGCTACAGCCGCAGGTAGGACAGGCGGATACAGGACCGGTTGTAACTTTTGTCAAGGTTACGATCATCCGTGTTTGTGGATGTCCAACCGGAATGTAGTGGGAGTCAAAAACACAGTCATGTCACATGAGATCACCTCGCCGCTTAACTGATTTTCCAAGCCCTGCTCCTCTAGATGAAGTGGAATATGATCTGTCTGTTTTCCCAGAATACCAAAGGGGAATACATGTCACAGTTTTGCGATTTAAAATAAAAACAGAAGTCGAGAATACTGATATTAATTCATATCTTTAGAACAGATAGATGACAGTAAAAATGTCTATCTTGACGCAGGGCAAAATGAAGAAATTGATTAAATCTGACGGATTAAGTTGACCAGAATTCACTGGGGATATTTCTAAAATAATGCTATTCATAATGATCTCGACAGCTATCAAAAGGCGTCTTTTGGTATTGCCTTTCATAATTCATTTTTGTCACAATTTGAATGTGACAGCTGAGTCTTATTTGCTCCCCAGCAGCATTGATGCAAGAGGGAGCATACAATATTTTCTTGAATACAATAAGTGCTTATTAAAGCTGAAACAGCCGATAGCTAAAAGCAGCTTGGAGAATTAAGTTAAAAAAAAATTAAAATACCACAGAGAATATTATAATATGCCTTGATATAATTCAATATTATCAGAGTGGTTATTTGTCATGTGCTCGTGCAAACTCCTGTGTACAGATGTGGACAAATCCATTCTGGCTCACATATGGCCCTGGATTTTGCTGCTATTAGCGATCACGCTCATGGGTCTGGACTCCGTCATATTGGAGGGCGAGAGGACAAGGAGCATATGTTTCTGTGGGTCCGCACACGGCAACCCCTTGGTTTTAACACAAGCCACAGCCCTCGGGAGGTAGCTCAGAGCATCAGCCAGAAATACATTTTAGCAAGCTTTAGCGCAACAGCATAGGCAACACAAAGCCTACAATAAAATCTCTAGACTCAAAAAAGAACATTCACAATAATAAAAAAAGTTCAAAACATCTTAAAAATAAAAACATATTACCTTCATATAGACAAACACTTCAAATCTTTGTATCCCCTCACTCTGAATTCCAGTAATAAAAGAGGGAACAACGGCTTCAAAATACCAACACTGACTGTAGCAAATCTTTCCTGTTTGACTATAACAAACATATAACACTGAAATCACCATTGTGCCTCTAAAAGACATAGCTAAAAAGCAGATTGTGGGGCATTTACAGTATAGTAATAAGGCTAAGCTGGTCACAGTTTTTATATTCTACTCTACACAAAATCACTTGCCATTTTACATTGAAGAAAATCTCAGCGGCGGGTGGATTTATTGAAGAGAGCACTTATTCAGAGTAATCAATCTTACTTGTGTGTAATTGAAGAGTTTTATCTCCAAAAGGGAGACATTTTTCTTGACCGAAGTATCAACTGTTCTCATAATGACAAAAGATCCAAATTATGACAAATATAGTATGTGTGAAGGTGGACAGCAGGTAGTTAAAGTGTGTAATTTCTTTGCAATATTTGATATTTTGTAACAAAAGCTCCTCCCCCTCAGTGCAAATGATTCCCTATGACATCACCGTTAAATCTGAAGGCTATTTGCTTGACATGTTGAGGTGTTTTGCTGTCAATACATCCCCCAATAAGTGACCCCCATTATAAATTCATGATTCCTGACAGATACCCCACTGACAAAATCCATTAGTGAGCTAATGAGAGCTCTGCGCCGTGAACGTCGACACCTTTCTCCCTCCTTTTCACATCACCCCATCCCCTTTTTAAAATGGAAAGCTACACGATGCCATGAAACAGCACATTATGACTTTGTTATTGTCAGAAATTATGTCTGGAAAGAGGTGCTTAAAGAGCTGGGAGTAAAATAATGAAGGAAATCTCAACGGGGAATGTGGAACGCAAAAGGCCGTTACTTTAGATGAGCCTATTCATTTATTTTATTTGACTCTCTTATACTTGGGTATTTCTATTAGGCTCTCAACGTCTGTCTCAATTTCTCTCTCAATCTTCAGTTTTGGTCTCAGTGAACAACAAGGCTATGCTCTGTCCTGACCAAACATCTTAACCTTGTCTCCCTACTGACAAGAGCTTTTGTTTGTGGCCATTGGCTGGAAATGTAATTTAAAAAATACAACTTTGCCCAGAAATGAATCCTCACTCCTGTACTGTATGTGAAAGCCAACTAGGTGCATCAAAAATATGAGTTCTGCCCCCGAGCTGCAAACATTCAGCTGAATTTCACATCCTTATCTGACTCGGCGTTGAATATGGAACATTCTGTATGCAAGGTGAGCTTAGCACACCACACCAAAGAGTGATTATCGGCTCTCTTTGAAGCACTTGACGGCTTTGAGCTTAGCGTAAACAATTATCTCTTCACCCTGCTTTGGATTGCCTTTCGCAACGAATGCCTTTCCCATCACCTCTACCACTGTCTCCTACAAGTTCCCTCCAACAACTTACTCTGCTGCACAGAACTAAGGAACTGGAAATGGTGGTGCAGTATGTGGTCACATGGAGATGCTTTCCTGAGCAGATTTTTTCTCAAACTGTCAGTCCTGTGGATTTGGAAATGTGTGACCTGTCAATTCAGTCTCTTGGATTTTTGAGCTGAATTTTCGTAGCTTCCAAAACTGCGAGAAAGCTGCTCAGTACATGTACCTCTTGTAACAGGTGCTACCTCTGGGTACACATATTAGCTTTATCCTTTACTGCCAGAGAACTTTCTCAATCACTGATCTTCTTTAAGTTTATCAAGTTGACCCTTATTATTTTCAATCTTACCCTGTTGCTGTTAAACTACTGAATTTCCCCACAGGGATTAATAAAGGTCCATCTTATCTTATCTTATCTTATTAGAAAGGTCGGCATCCAACTCTGTATTTTACATTACAATGAGAATCATGTTTCTTTCCCCACTCACGTGAAGCCCTGATCACACCAGAAAGTGTCTAATTTATCCACATAGCTAGAGGATTGGTGATGTGGGACTATTGGCAGGACTGATTGATAAACTACATATGTTGAGCTAACTGCTAACACACTGCCGCTAGTCAGTTTCAATAACTCTCCTACCTTTTTTTTCTGTCTGACAGTTTTTTCCCTTCATTTTATTCTCTCAAACTCTGTTTCCTCAACGTTGAACAGTGTTAGGACAGCTTTCTATTGCACAGCATTGTGTAAAATGGGTAATAGCTAGATTTTTATAGGAATAATACATAGATTTGTTTCTCTCTTTGACATACAAACCAACTAAATGTGATTTCATTTAAAGGAAAGACATTTACCTTTTTCAATTTCTGAAGTGACCAGGAATTTAAACAATTTCTCATTCTTCTTTAGTTGCAGGAAAACGTGCCCAAACCGATCAATTCATCATTCTAGATATTCACCCCCTGTTGATTCCTCTGCTCTGTATTGCATTGTCTATACGTCCACTATACTGCACCAACATCTTCTGATATATACATTCAGTATGTGTGGTCTAGAGCTGATATCTGCTCTGTAACTACACTATGGCAGGTTGCGGGGAATTGTTTAATAAAGATGGTAGGTTTGGAGAATGATGCAGCGATGGGGATCGAAGACCCTTTTACATGGATCAGGGACAACACTGTGAACCAGTCCTTAAGATGTAGAAGTTAAGAGGTAGGGTGGGGAAAAACCTTGACTTGGACTACTTGGGGCTACTCTGGAGTCTCCTCTGAGCTTTGATTGGTTGGTGTGGCCTTTGAATCCGCCACAATTTCCTTGGCGATGACATCCACGCCTGCTGGTTCTTCTGTCTTATGTTTCATCACAATCTCTTGGCCCTCGTCTTTCTCCTCATCCGTCTCCACCCCATTTTCAATCACAACTTCTGCTACGCTCTCATCCACCTTTTCTTTGGTCTCGCTCTGTGTTTCAACAGTCGCAACGATTTCCGTCACTTCCTGGACTTCTCTCTTTTCTAAAGGCTCTCCCTTCTCATTTGATCCCTCCCCATCCAGTGCTATCTTTTCTTCTTCCTCTTCTTCTGTGACGTTTTGTCCTTCTTTGTCTTCTGTCTCTGCTCCTCCATCTTTCTTTTCAAAAGTCTCTATGCTGATTTCAATCCCATCAATCATTTTATCTGCCTCACTCCTCACCTCCCTTTCTTTCGATGTCTCACTTTCTCTTGCTGCCTCTACATCTGTTGCATTCACTGCTTCCTCCCTACTGTTGTTTTCCTCTTTCTCAACATTTTCTTTGTCATCGAGTATCTTGGGATCCTCTGCATCTTTCTCGGTTTTAGTTTTCTTCTTCTTCTTGTTCTTTGCTGTTTCTTTGATGCAGTTCTTGTTGGACTTGCTTCGGGGCTTGAAGATCAATTTCTGAAACAAACGAAACAATGTTAACGTATGTGACGCATTAGCATGTCAGTGGAATGACTCGCAACTCTTAAAACATGCTTTTGGGCACAAAGCTTAATTAAGAATAGATCAACGTGAAACTAATATTGCACTGGGAAAACGAGCTAATTCAAATGAGTCTCATTGATGCCGGGAAGGAAATTGAGGCCATTTTTAGGGGAGTTATTGGGGGCCCCCAGGCCTTCAAACTGACCAAACAAACCAGGAAAAAATGTAATGCAATATATCCTCAATTACTTGAACAACTTCCGCAGGGTTCAACACACTGCAGGGACATAGAGTACTGAGATAGACTGCAAAGAAACGGCCAAGAAAATCTTGTTAACGCTAGCAATTCCCTGAGTCTTAAGGCCTATTACATTTGTTTCCGTGATGGCAGTTTAAATTCGGGTCACAGAAAGCATCAACATGGATTCATTTCACAGTGGACAAAAGGTCAGCTTTAGAGGTTATCGTCACTATTCAGGGTCACGAAGAAAGTATTATCAGCTGTTTTTCTCCAAACAACACATCCGCTGTTGCTGAGGAGTTCCCAATATCTCAAACAGAAAGGGAGTCAGTTTGTTTTGTGTATTTGGCAACTTAAAACCAAAACAGCTGTGATATCCAAGGTGGTAAAAGGTGATGTTGGCCTGGGATTTATTTTAAGCATGTGACAAAGACTGGTGGGAGACCCTGTATACACATTAGCCAAGAAATACAGAGAGGAATGTGAGGTTGTGTACCTTGGATTCCCTCCTCTTTCGGCTCAAGACGGGTCTCTGCAGAAACACGATCTGTTTGGTGGACAGACTTCCATCACTGAAAGATTAGGACGGAGAGAGAAAAGGAACGTTAAGAGGATATCAGCTGAAAACGTTGGCAATTAGACGCAACATTGTATGTCTTCTTCTTCAAACGTTTACTCTTATTTGTTGAAAAATATCAAATAAGAAAGGAGATAGAAATGAGCTTTTCCCACGTGCTTTTTCCGAAACAATGTAACAACAACACTTCATAATTTACGAGATCCTTTGCTTAAAAAATGCTGCAGAACTCCAAGATAAATATGCATACATCATTTGAGTTATAGGCTTGAATCCTGAAATAACACAGATTGATCAACACTCTTTCTGACCTCCATCAAGATAGCCAAATGATGCTGGCAACCGTTCATGCTTCACACTCTTATCTGACAGTTTAGGATAAAGGCTCACATTTGTGGCCCAACCTCTTCACTGCTGTCATTAGTCAGTGTCATTTCCCCCCTTATGTTTCAGTCTTGCAAGGAAATGGGTTTTTCTCATGCACTGAGGCGTATTTAGAAGTTTGCCTGAATGTCTGAGTGCAATTTTTGAAAACCTTGAACTTCTTAGAACATGTATTTCTTCTCTTTTCCTCAATTCCCCAAAGATAATCCTCCATCCTATGAACATGTCACATTTCTGTGTTCAGAGGAGGATAATCTGCACAAGTACTCACACTGACAGATTAATTGTGGCAGGAAATGCAGATTCATTTCTGAGCGGGCTTCCTGTCTCTCGAGCTCTCTCTCCTACTCCTCTGTCTGTATCTTTGTCATTCACAACCTCCTTAATATTTCAGTTTTCTCTCTCCAACTAGCTGCTTACTTTTGCCTCTCTGCTGTTATCTTCTGGGATTTTTGACAGTTTTATTGTTTGTTTCTGCTTCATTCCTTCTATTTATCTCTTGCCATTATTGGACGTGGCTTAAAATGAGATATGTTGTCCTGTGCTGTTATCTGACACAAGTTCAATAACGCATGCACACGCCTGCACACACATACTCACAAAAGGTTAGGTGCTGTCTAAAGTTAAGCTGCCAGCTCAGCCCTGCACATGAGGACAGATGGTAGCTTTATGATCGCTGCAGAACCTTAAAAGCCTGCTACAAATCTTCCCTTTCTCAACATCAAATGGACTTGAGACTCCTCTAGCAGAAGGGCTTACTATCTTAACCATCCAAAGCCCACCACAACTTCTTTTTTTTCCATTACCTCCTTCCTTCTACCATTTATCCATAAGCTATTTTCTAGGCTGTCAAGAATGCTGGACGGCTTCCTGTTCAAACTAAAGCTGAAAGCTAACTGGAGTTCCCATTAAGCCAAAGAAGAGTGGATGTCTTAGAAAATTACAGGCCTTTACCAAATCTACTTTTGGATGTCTTTGTCAGCCGCAACATATTACAACATTGAAGCCTTATGTAACAGGAATGGCCTGTGTTTATTTTAAATGACTGTACCTGTTGGCAGCAGAGAGAAGTCTACTTTCCCCCTTTGCTGCAAACTGACTCTAGTTTATAATCAAACACCCTGAAAAATCAAATGCTGCGCTCCAAAATGCCAATCGTACTTCAAGAAAGACTCAGATTAAGACTTTATAATGTATATGCTGAACCCTGTTATAGTCTCTAGTACATTTAGATACCTGCAAAAATGACCCAATGTGCCCAAACCTTGTTGTTTCCTTGTTGTATGTTCTGTTGTTCGACAATAAATGTAGAGGAATTCACAGTTACTGTAGTTAATGGCTCTAAAATGTAATTACCATCTTCATTAATTGAATGCGGTGAACAGAAATGCCTGCTCCGAGACAACTACATGAATTAATGTTGTGGAGAGAAGCCGCTGAGCACCAGTTAGCATTAATTTCAGACGTGGCTGAGATCACTGACACTTATCCCCCCCCAGATGAAGTGCCGTCTGCAAACCCCTCAGACTACAAAAACCGTGCATTTGCAAATTTGCTATTAAAAGAATTGAGGAATCAACACACGGCACAAAAACAAGTGTAATGAGTTTTGCTAATCTGAAATAGATCATCAACCATTATTTTGGAGCAAAAAGTTAGGAGGCTGGGAGAGAAATGAGCTCCGTCTTGTACTGTATCTAGGCCGACTGTGATTAATTAGCAATGTTGTGCTGTTGTGTTTTGGCATTTTGAGAGAAAAGGAAAGTAGAAAAAATCACAAAGGATGAAAATAGAGAGGTAATTAATCAGCTATGCTATGAAAGAGCAGCAAACATGACCAGCTGAGGTCGGAGCCGAGCTAACAGTATTTGGTCAGTGTATTGATGGAAAGACTGCATGTATACTTTTCAGTTTGACACAACTATAAATCTACTGTAACAATATACCAATGAAAATCAATTAGAAAACAAAGGCTAAAGCTTATGATAGGAGTACGTTAAAATGTAATCTCATTATTTTTGCTAGCTAAAACAATCTTTCCCATATTCAATTTTCTTGTCTTCCTAGACAAAGTGCAACATGTTCTGCTGCTCTGAGATTGTGACTCACAAAATAATTGAACAGCATATTACAAAAGCGCTCAGAATTTACAAATGGTCCAATTTGTGCATGATGGCCGTCCTGCGGTCTGAGTCACTATTTACAGCAACGTAACATCCACCATGTTGTTAAATCTGTGAGCAAGCTAGTATTGTCAGATGTCTTTTTTCTCAAACCTAAATGTGCTTACTAGAGTATTATCTATTTGAAACATTTAATAAACAGCTGTTTGTTAATTTGTTTAGTGTAATTTAGATTATTTCTGAGTTAACAAGGTACTTCGGTCTTTTCCTAACACTGGTTTGATGAGACTTAAGTGTTCTAGAGTGTGATATTTCACTGTTGCGGACGGTACATTATCATTTTGTTGAAGAATAAATTGTGTCTTGAAGTAAGGCTCTCCGGGGTGCCTGAAGAACATGCAAAGCCTTTGACCAAAAGCGGATGTACACTCATTTAGCAGGCATGAGTGATGAGTCAGCACAGGCTAAGCTGAGGAACCGTTACATTCGAGGCGAGAGATTTTCCACCAACAGTCAGAGCTGCTGCTTTTAAACCTTCACAGCTGCTGATGCTGCTGCTGCTCGGCTCACAGATTAGCCTAAATTGGCACAGATTTAGGTCAATTTCTTCTAGAAGCCATATTTCTTTGAACGAGAACTTGAACAGATAACGTGTTTTTAATACAGTTCCTAGTGTCTTCTTAAAGAGTTATCTCCCAACAAACCAAAAGAAAGTATGTGCATTATTTGTTAACACTGCAGTGATAGATACATGTTGTATTAGATGTAAAAAAAGCTAAAGAATAAATAAATGTATGAACTCAGAATTGTCTTGTTTTTAAGCTTGGTGACAATGCACTTTTGGGATCCTCCAGTGGGTTGTTAAATGATTCAGGAGCAGAGCTTGAACATAATAAAACACATTTACGACTTACGACTACAGTAAATAAAATGGTAAGATACTTCTACTTACATTGAGATAACTTTATTTAGATCTCTCACTGCATTCTATTATTGATCTTTATTCCATGTTATCCCTTTTGCATTTTCTTTTTTATTTACATTTCAAATCGTATTTACATGTTTCTTTTAAGATTAGATTAGTTTAGATTCAACTTCATTGTATTGCAGTACAAGTAACGGGACACAGAAATGCAAGTAAAGTGCATTGTCATATCTGTAAAGTATAGGTGCAATAAATATGCAAGATATAAAAAAAGTCATATACAGTATGAATGCGTATAAACAGTATACATATTGGATACACTGAGAAAGTGTATAATAATAGTCACTATGGATAGAATAAATATGAAACACTAAAGACACAGTATTGACACTTGAATATGAATAAATATGAGTACGCTATATAAGATATAACCAGTTTGGACAGTTATATAAATAAGATTATCTTAATTAGTCACAGATAAAAGAATACAAAGAACATGTGTACATTAGTATTCAGTCCCTAGGAGACACATAAATCATCAGCGGCGCAGCTAATTGGTTTAATAAATCACATGATTAGCTAAATGGAGATCAGCCGTGTGTTCTGAATACTTTTTACTATTAAATTAGAAAAAGGTAAAGCAAAGGCTTGTGGTGGATATCAGAGCAGTTTCTTCTGGTTTCCAACAGGGGTCATTAGTGGCCATAGATGACCTAATGTCCCTTTTCTTGGTCCGATAAGTGTCATTACCTGTTGGTCTTGATTACAGGAGTTGGCAGCACACAGGTGAGCCTCCATCCATACGTGGCCAGGGACTGTAGCAGAGGAACATAATCTGCCTTCACCTGCAAACCCTGTGGAGAAAAACATGTCCATTACAACCCGCAATCAACCAAAACAACTTGAAACCTGTTCATGATCCACACTCTTATCCCTTTAAACACCACGTATGCTGCACAATGAACAGTACGTATCCATTTTATGAAGCAGAGTGCATTCGCTGCTCTGATTACAGCTGTGATGCAACAAGGTAAGAGATGTAATCAGGCACTGTCAGCTTCACTTTAACAGTTAAAAAAACCTTTCCCTCTCAGATATGATGGATTTAATACTATGAATGTGTGCAGATGGAGAGGTTATTTTCTAAAGCAATGTACACAGGAAAGATTAAAAACTGAGACATAAATCAACTGCTGCCGAAACTCCCTTGTTGCCATGACTCTACACGGCAGCCATCTCTATTCATGACGGCACAGTAAGTCCTTGAGCAAATAGACTGCTCATGTGAAACTGCTCATTTTGTGGTAAATATTTAAAAGCGTTGAGTCAAGAAGGGACGAAACATGAATATGCTTATTTTGACTTGGGGACAATGAGCCTGTTAGCTTAGCAGTTCAAACTGAAATACACAGATTAGTTAGAGAACACACACAAACACACACCCAGGAAGTGTGCATGTGGTTTGACATTCTTGCCGTGTGATGCACCTGCCGAAAATGAGAAACCTCAACGCGTGTCAGTCAGATTGCACGCATCTACAAAAACATATGCACACACACGTACGCACGCGAGCGCAGAGCTTCCAGTTAATAAAAGACTTCGCTCGAGGGACGGCTCAATGTTCTCCAGAACATTCCCTGAACCTATGGACTGCGAAATAAAAGTCGTTTGAAAGAGTGAAATAAAAGTCTCACCATTCGGGCCGTGACCGTTTTCACATAAATTCTAGACCGTTTCCTTATGGTGTGCCGTTTGAGTACTGATATGAGTCAGGAAGGCAGTGAACGTGAACACAGAACTTCACAGTCTATTCATATTGCACTGATCAACTGTACAAGAACAGAGAATTGAGAATACATAAAACCTACAGATGCTACATTAGCCTTCACTGTACTGTGAATTGTGAAAATGTAGTCTAATTAAAGCCTCACCAGGCGAGGTGTTCATGTGAATATACTGTACACCCGCTTTTATTACCGTCTTTCACAGTTTCCTTTTGTCCCTGAAGGAGCCACACCACAGAGTCGAGAAAATCAGGTGACGCATAAAGACTTCAGTGAAATACAAAAGCAAAGCAGGACCACAACCTCTTTTTCTTTCTTTGTGTAGAAAACATAAAAGCCCCGTTTGTTTGTGTGTTTAGTACTCATCTTACCAGTACTGTAGAAAAGGTTTCATTGTACATTTCTCCATGCTCTGGTAACAACTGAACATAGGTAATAGCTTTCTTAAAGAAATCTTTTCTGTATGAATTGTATTTCATAGATATTAGTAAACCACAATTACAAAAGCATCTATATGACAGCTATACTAATACACTACTGCCACTAATACTACAAGTCATATTGCTTCTACCACTGTGTCCATGACTAAATGTTTATTTAACTTTTACTACAGTCAGCGTACATTACAGTATACATAACTAAATCTTCTTACTCTCGAATTGCAACTGTCACTATCATTACCACGAATAGAACAACTGCTTCTATTGCTACTACCTATATTTTATAATACTTTTAGAGCCGCAAAGATTAATCCAATAGTTGTCAAACAAAATTCCCTGATCTAGCTTCTTTAATCTGAATATTTATCATAGTTTTGTTACTCCTTGGAAGACAGTAGACTTTTATCTTTTGAGTTTTGGACAACACAACACATCTAAGTACGTATTTTCAGGCTTCGGGAAACACCGATTGACATTTATTATAATAAAAAAACAAATTGGCTAACTGAGAAAAAAAACAATTGTTGGTCTCAGACCCACTTTCGGCAGTAGTGTCGTAACAAAAACTACTTTTACAACTGCTACCATTTAAATGACTATCACAGGCAATTCTCCTACAAGTAGTAAAACTGCATCTGCTGCTATCCTTTGAGATCTGACTTCTACTTCCACTGCTATGATGAACACCATGACTACAGTACTATTACCTCTACTAAGTGTGCATTAGGGTCCAGTGGGTGGTCATACAGGGAGAATCAGTGCATTTCTGAGAAAGAGAGACTGATCATCATGCAGTACTCATTGTCTGCCATGAGACAGACCTCAAGTGAAAACACTTAAACGCACTTCACCGCACAACGCCTCATTTCTCTTCCACAGATCCTTATTGACCAGGATGACAGAACATGCACAAACAGACCAGAAGCAGTCGTGTATAACGTTGTAGGTTGCAAAGAGCTAATCGTTAGAATACGAGACACTGCTCCAGACATTATTTACACAAGCATTACTTTGTAAGTTCCTACGGGGAGCGGCGCATCTACATTTTTCTTAGGTTTATGTTGGAACCACTCCCAGAAACAGGCTCTGTTTCAAAGCCTGCCCGGAAAGAACATTGAGAAATAATCTGTAATGGCTTGCTGTTCTTTGTAGTAGGTGAGAGATAATCACAGTCCTCAGAGTCTGGCTCCCCTCTCTCCCCGATTTATTATGCAGGGCCACCGCACTGCATCAGTACTATTGCACCAACCTCTGAGCAAAGTAATCTCAGCGCCATCTTTGTCTTCGATGTTATCTGTGTGACTATAAAGAAGGATCGCACGGTAAGTAGAGAGAGAGGTGTAGTGTAACCAGTTCAGGTAAAGCTACTATACATTGAAACCAGGTTTTTCTGGAGATCATGTCATCACACTGATGAACACATTTGTACCTTGGCTCAGCGAGCTTTAAACACATAAAGGCACTTAAAGGCATCTCAGTAGGAAAAGGAGATGATGTCAGTGACTTTCACTGTAAGCATTTTCCCTGCTGTTGATGGTAGCAGCAAGTGCTCAGGCAATAACCCACTTCTTATCTTTGAGATGTTGATGCTAAGCCACTCACACAGGTATGGAAATATATTATCCAGTGTTTGCAAACTTGTACCTAAGATAACGTTTGTTTTTCAGGCCTACGGTGGAGTGGGTGCAGCTGCAGGTCAACTGGAGTTCAGAGTGCATTTAGAGAGTTAGCTTAATAAAAACAGCAGTATATTGTTTTTCTTTAAACCCACTCCACCGACTCTGAAAGGTAGACATAACAAACCATAAATCTGTTTTGCAACGGCTCTGAATATAGCTTTGGTTCGGCAGACGACAAGGGTCAACAGATTCTGCAGACACAGCCCTGTAATGATGAAGCAAATACCTTTTTAAAAAAGGGCGTTCAGATTCTGTTCCTGACGGCCTCGCTCAACCTCGAGCGTTGTCACAGCAACAGAAAACCCTTCATTCAATCTTTTTTAAAGCACTGCAATATAAGTGGGTCTGGCTGTTTCAATAGCGTTTAAAAAAATAATAATACTTTTACAATTTCCTAACTGTTTCATCAGACCAGTTCTGTTTAGAATATATACAAGCTTTTTAGCAAGAAATGATCAATGCCTCCTAATTTGTACTCAAACTAAAGGATGACCATCTTGACCAAACGAGCAAAGCACAAGGTTCATTTGGTAACTGTTCTGGAGCTTGCATTCGAATAAAATGGTTTTAATTGTAGGTGTTCAAATTAACATTTTTATGGGCACCAATAGGACTTCTTGTCCATGTTAGCTGGTAAAACTGAGTTAATTACTTAGTTAACTTAGTTAAGTTAATTCTTCAACCTTTGAAACATAATTTGTAGGTCAAGTGAGAGAAACCCCCCCACACGGTCCAATTTGCAGCTGTTCCAGAGGTGTTCTTTGTGTCACAGGCTCTAAACATACCATACCAATGACAGCTATGCACCATCAAGGGACCTTTTTCCCTGCTTAAAGTTGCATTGCTTCTAAAATATTACAGCAAATAAAGACATGCAAAGTGCATCCGAACTTTAGACTCTTCAAGGTATTAGTTTGCATTTCAGTAAAGACCAAACTATGCAGCCTGATAACACATGATGACGTAGCTCAGAAAACAAAGGCTGGTGAGGTTACTGTTGCTGTTATCATGTGCTTTTGCAAGGAGAAGAAACATATTAGTATTTGATGATGGAAACTGATAACTCAAAATGGGGGTTTTTGCGAGAAGACACATTTAAAGAAGCAGCCCAAATTATTTATAAGAACAAAAGGCCCAGAGCTAAATTCTGACAGGGGAGCCCAGAGTGTCTCTCTGCTTCTCTGTTTTTTTGGCTTTGTGAAATTAGCCTGCCAGCTTGTAAATTGACTCCTTTAACCACAACCTACTTTAGAGACGAGAGGAACAATAGATTAAGACTAGCCAGTTTCTGTATCACGTTAACCTCAAATCTGCATCTTTACAGTTCTTTTGGTCGTCACCACACCGGAATATTTTTCATGTCTCTTTAGTCTGGTTCTTATATCAAGCCTTTTACTGAGGACCTCCATGACATTGATGCTAGGAAGTGATGGAACAGTTAACTCAGATCTTTTACTTAGATGAAACCACAAAAACAGCAATCTGATACTCAATTAATAACAAGTTAAGGTGCATTCATATTACCAGCCAAATCATTAATGGTCACAAGAATATTCTGTCCCCAGATTCTTTTTTTAGGAAAGAAGACCAAACAAACCACATGTGTGTACTTTGCTCGTTTCTAAATTAAATAAATGCCTCAAAGTAATTTTAAATGAAACTCTCTAAGACATTAAGAGGGTACATATCTATTTAAGGTGCACTGCTAACCATCTATAATGTCACAAAGACCCCTAACTTGATTTGCTTCTTTGTAATGAGTCAAAAGATAACTGTACACTATTATTTCACAGGTTTTTGTAATGTAAAATATTGTCAGGGAAGTTTAAAGTAGGAGCATAAAATGAAAATACTCAAAGTTTTACTAACCTAGAGTAATTATAGATGGACTAAGTTACTTTCCAGCACTGCTTAGCCTCTGTTCTGTCGCAAACATGTTATTATTTGTTTC